AATTCTCCCATACTTAATCCTGATTCCTTTTTCCTATAGGCAGCCATCTTCAGCCCCCCAACTCTTCTAGTCCTATGAATGAGACCAGGAAAAGTAGCACTCTTTGATGTAAATGACTCTTTGGGTAATAGTGTCATTGTTTTATATTCTAGATCTGCAAGCAAAACGTTTGGAGGCACAGGGCCTTACTTTGTTATCTGAAAAATCACCATTGTCCACATCTTCCAATAGATCCTGGTGAGGTTTTATCTGCTTGAACATCATTTATGACTGTGTGAGAAGTGGTGATTAACTTACCTTGAAATCATACTATCTTCAGATAATTATTAAGGTCATAGTAATTAGGAGTCCAAACTCTGAAGCAAGCAAGATGACTTGAGTCTAAATCTTTCCTCTGCAACTTACCGCTGTATTTTAAACTTGGTTCTTTGGTTGTTGCCGTTTGGAGGGAGGGTACTACTTAGGATAATTTAAGCACTTTGATCATATCAGGCTGGAAATAGAATTATTCACTAAGTTGTAGATACTGGCCCCTGCCCTGATTCCTCTGCTATTGATTCCCCAGCTCCCCTAACACCGTTTTATATTAATGAATCTCTTTGCATAATATATTGATTTAACTGCATTATTTATCTGTCATGTTGTCTGGCACTGTGCTAGGCTATAGAGATACAAAAATGACAAATCATGGACTACCTTAAAGGGTGGATAAATATACGTAGGGGACAGAGACTTGCAAACAAATGAATTCATCAAAATGTTAATTAGGCCAGGTGTGGTGGCTCATGCCTGTAATCCAGGTACTTTGGAGGCCAAGGCAGGCGGATCACCTGAAGTCAGGAGTTCAAGACCAGCTTGACCAACATGGCGAAACCCAGTCTCAAAAAAAAAAAAAAAAAAAAAAAAAAAAAAAAAAAAAATTTTAAATGTTAATTAAAGACGCTGAGAAAGAACTTTTCAGGGCACACTGGAGGATAAGGGAGGGCAAAGTAAGTTCTGTCTGAGAGAACAAAGTAGAGGAGGGTGTCAAGGGGCAAGGAAAGTTTTTGTGGAAAAGGTCGATGCTTGAATTGAATCTCAAAGTTGTTTTGCTGTAACCATAATAGGTATGCTGCCTGATAAGTGTATATTCACCCAACAGGTTCTTCCTGCTTGCTGCCTAGATAAAATCAATTCACTAAGACCACAGCATTGCAGTAAAGAGTTTGACACTGGGGCTGGCCATGCAGAAGAACTGGAGTTATCACTCAAATCAGTCTTCGAAAAGGCTTCGGGGCTAGGGTTTTATAGGTAAACTGGTGGGCAGGGGTCTAGGGAATGGGTGCTGCCAGTTGACTGGGGATGAAATCACAGGAGTGTGGGAAATAGTCCTCATGTACTCCATCTACCTCTGTGTGGGGTCACAGGACCAATCGAATCATGAGTCACAGATCTGGGTGGGGTCAGTCTGAAAGACATCTCAAAAAACCAATTTTAGGTTCTACAGTGATGATGTTATTTATAGGAGCAATGGTGATGTTATACATAGGAGCAATGAGGATAACACAAACCTTGTCATCTCAGGCCACATGCTCCTAAGCAGTAAGGGTTTACAGAAACTATGCTTACATCTTATCAGAATTCAGGATCCTCTCACAATCCTAATTTTGTGGTCTTTCGTCAGTTTTACAGAGGTGGTTTAATTTGGGGAAGGGGTATTATCCTTGCTTTAAGGTTAAACTGTAAATTCTTCCCTAAGTTAGCTTGGCCTATGCCCAGGAATGGCTAAGGACAGCGTGAAGGTCAGAAGCAAGATGGAGTCAACTATATCAGATTTCTCTCACCGTCACAATTTTGCAAAGGCAGTTTCACATGCAACAAGTCAGCACTGAAACACCAGGTTGCAGCAGGGCAAGGTTTAATCATAGGTCTGCCCAATGAGGAGATGACAGGGAACCTCCAACGCCTCTCCCTGAGGATTTAGGGGCTAGGTTGTTTCTGTTTGTTTTTGAGATGGAGTTTCGCTCTTGTTAACTCAGGCTGGAGTGCAATGGCACAATCTCCAGTCACTGCAACCTCCACCTCCTGGGTTCAAGTGATTCTCCTGCCTCAGCTTCCCGAATAGCTGGGATTACAGGTGTCCACCACCATGCCTGGCTAATTTTTTTGTGTATTTTTAGTAGAGATGGGGTTTCTCCATGTTGGCCAGGATGGTCTTAAACTCCTGATCTCAGGTGATCCACCTGCCTCGGCCTCCCAAAGTGCTGAGAATACAAGCATGAGCCACTGTGTCCGGCCTTGGGGCTAGGTTTTTAAGGATTATGGAGTGGGCCAAAGTATGGAGATCACTGAGGGGTCAAAGAGTGCAGAGGAAGTCCCGGGACAGGGAGATGATGATTCTCATGCTGACTGTATTCCTCTGTGGGGTTCTTCAAACTGGTTAGCATTAGCTGTTTCCTTAGAATCTGGGATCTGAAAAACGTCTTAAGCAGTTCTTAAACAAAAGACTTAAAATTCTAATGTCAAAAATCCCATCTGTAGGAACAATGGGGATACAAATGGTCCCCATTTGTGGTGACTTTGTGTTACAAGGAAGTAGGTCAAAATGTAGCCTGATGAGTGCTTATTTATAACTATAGTTCTGTCTAGAATTCTTGTTAACCCTGTGAGGACAGCTTCACTGCTTCTCACCTGTTCCTTCAGACCTGTTCTAATCCTGAGGCCATCTGAATAAGACAAAGCCTCCACAAATAGGCTCAGAAATATTACCCCATTTCCTGGAGTTGGTAGCCTAGTCCCAGTCGTTGGGACTCCCTCGTTGTCTCTCAGGGATCTTTGTTGCATTCAGTTGAAGAATCTGCTCTTATCAGGAATGACTCCTGGGCCCAAAGTCACAGCTCTCTGGTCTCTGTCCTCATCCTCTCCCTGTCTCCCATGAAATGCTCAGTCCTTAGTATTAGGCTGCAGTCTTAACCACACATAGCACCCAAGTCCTTACCCAAGACTTTTTATTTATTTATTTAATGGAGACAGGGTCTCACCATTTTGCCCAGGCTGGTCTTTGAACTCTTGGACTCAAGTGATCCTCCTGTCAGCCTCACAAAGTGCTGGGATTACAGGTGTGAGCCACTGCACCCAGCCTTTCCCCAAGACTCAAACCCTGCTTTGAACTGTAGCCCCATGCTAAGGGTCCCTGCTGCTTCATCTTTTCCTCGCCACCCTCTCCTCTGGGATCTGGACCTTGTTTTCTGTCCCAGCTGGGGTCCTGCCATCCACCTTAGTTTTCTTTTTTTGAGACAGAGTCTCATTCCAGGCTGGCGTGCAGTGGTGCAATCTCAGCTCACTGCAACCTCCGCCTCCTGGGTTTTTGGGTTCTCCTGCCTCCGCCTCCCGAGTATCTGGGACTACAGGCATGCACCACCACGCCCGGCTAATTTTTGTATTTTTAGTACAGACGGGGTTTCACCATGTTAGCCAGGCTGGTCTCGAACTCCTTACCTTGTGATCTGCCCACCTTAGCCTTCCAAAGTGTTGGGATTACAGGCGTGAGAAACCATGCCCGGCCCATCCACCCTATTTTTCATTCCTATTCTGGGAAGATGATTTCCAGATTGGCCACCCATCTACCGAGGCCTGCTTACATTCCCCACAGCTGTGTTTCCCACTTAACTGGCAAACCTAGCCCCAACTATGCCTGGATTGTGCCTAACTCGTGACAAAGACCCTCTCTTTGGCCAAACTTTAGTCAGGCTCCTCCGAGCCCTCTTCTCAACTAGGCCTCGACCTTAGCCTCATCCTGTCTTTGACCCGCCCAACCCAATTATGGCAAGAATCCTGCTGGATAAGTTTACCGAGAGTACCCCCATCCTTAATAACTGATAAATTCTTCATTCTCCACTTTTTTTTTTTTTTAAGACTGAGTCTCACTCTATCACCCAGACTGGAGTGCACTGGCACAATTTTGGCTCACTGCAACCTCCGCCTCCCGGGTTCAAGTTTTTCTTGTGCCTCAGCCTCCTGAGGAGCTGGGACTCCAGGCATGCGCCACCAAATCCGGCTAATTTTTGTATTTTTAGGAGAGGCGAGGTTTCACCACATTGGCCAGGCTGGTCTCGAACTCCCAACCTCAGGTGATCTGACCACCCTGGCCTCCCAAAGTGCTAGGATTACAGGTGTGAGCCACTGTACCCAGCCTCATTCCCCACTTTCGATGTATAAGTCCTTGTCCTGCCTTTAGCATGAATCCCGTTAGGTCACTTTAGCAGGAGTTGCCCTACGTTTGATGTCTCCCTTTAGTAATTCCCATCCTGTGACATCCTTCTACTGCTCCTTGGCTGTAAATCCCCACTTGTCCTTGTTGTATTTAGAGTGGAGAATACTTTTTCCTTTAACACTTACCATGCACTTTGGACGACAACTGTGGGTAGGCCACCACCCAACTGTCTTCTGGGTCATGCTGCCTCTCCTCCCTGCTCTAGAAATCAAATCTTTTTTTTTTTTTTTTTTTGAGACGGAGTTTTGCTCTTGTTACCCAGGCTGGAGAGCAATGGCGCGATCTCGGCTCACTGCAACCTCCGCCTCCCGGGTTCAGGCAATTCTCCTGCCTCAACCTCCTGAGTAGCTGGGATTACAGGCACGTGCCACCATGCCCAGCTAATGTTTTTTTGTATTTTTAGCAGAGACGGGGTTTCACCATGTTGACCAGGATGGTCTCGATCTCTTGACCTCGTGATCCACCCGCCTCAGCCTCCCAAAGTGCTGGGATTACAGGCTTGAGCCACCGCGCCCGGCTAGAAATCAAATCTTATTCCAGCCTCCTGACCTCCTCTTCCTCACCAGCCCCTAGCTGACTTGTATGGCAACACAGTTCTTGCAGGGTCAAACCTAGAGAGGATAGGGCAATTCTACTCCAACCAACTTCACCTAGTTCAGTCAGTCAGTAAGCAAAACATCTGAGTACATTTCAGGAGTTTCTCAACATAGATATTTTTGAAGAGCTTTCTTATTTGTATTACAGACATAAAATATATACACTCAAGGCATAAAATATCTGTCTTGTGCTGTTTCAAATGAAAAAAACATAGTGGATACAGATCTTCGGTGTTCCAATGGTGCCATAAACACATTTGATGGCTTTTTTTTTTTTTTTTTTTTTTTTGGAACAAAGAATTGTGTAAGATTTTACCTCTTGGGTTCCAAGTATGTTTTTGTTTGTTAGAGAGACTTTGCTGCAAAAGTCTCCTCACCTAGAGCTCTGGCGATTTTTCATGTTTTATTCATCTCTTTCATTTGGCTTCAAGTAAGAGAAGAATGTAATAAAATTCAAATTTTACTGAATTTTATGAATGTCAGGTGTGGAACTTTCCTCTTGACTGTCTCCTTTCACTGAGGCTGCTACTGAAGCCTTGTGTAGGAAATGGTGCACCAACCATTCATTGGTTCTCATGGCTTTGCAATGGAGGCAGGGCCTTTCTCCCATTTGGTAACTTCCCAGGTTCTTGTGCCTCTGAGCCATTTTTCTCCGCTTAATACTGTCTGGTGATGGGTGGCGTTCACTTTCACTCTCCTTCCACGAGGAGGCTCCTGAGTTAGATTCTTCACTGCCACACTCCGTAGTATCACTGTCATGTTGGTCCTGGTTCACCTCATTGAACTGAGACTGGCACCTGGCTCGTCTTTGTTCAAGATAGGCACTGACCAAAGCCACTTCTGAGTTGGTTACAGGAGTAAGTTGGTTCTGCTTTGGTTTCTTCATTGTTTGTGAGGAATCCCAGGCACCATCTTTGCTTTGCCACTGATAGGAAGTCTCTTTGCCTGCTAATAGCCAATGAAACAAAGCAAGTTAGTCACATTGTTGGTTACTATAAATTCATATTACTTAAGAAGCCTGTGCACGTGTGAGCTCACTCTTAGTGGCAGTTGTCAAGCCACTGCTTTTCTCCAGTTGCCTGCAAGTGTTGGCAGCTGACTGCGTTTTCCAGTACCATACTCCAGCTCCTGCAGACAAGAAAGCTTAGCTAGATGCTTGACATACCACTCTTGAAGTTTTGTGGATCCTAGACATAAGATCAAAGGAAAAGATCTCTACCAGGAAAGAACCTTTTTTTTTCCTTTGAAAATGAAAGTCTTAAAGTCAAGCATGTACTTAGGAATGTGATTTGCAGAGCAGGAACTAAGAAGGATCTTTGCTTTATGTAGTGGTGTGCTGAAGTTGGCTCGTACCCACTCAGAAGAGCTGATAAACTTTCAGGAATTTTGCGAGATGGTTGAACATAGGCATTATTAAAAATTAAATTATACCAACTTACAATAAATTCACTTGCTAAAAATGATGGTAATAAGTACTCAACACCCATCACTTCCTAATTATCTTACTAAATTTGATTGTGCTGTGTGCTCTTCTGGTTTTTTAAGTCTGTTGTATTTGGATGTTGGAAATACTGTGTTAAGGGTGCCCTACTGCACATCTCCTCCCAACTCCATGTTCAGTGACATGATGTGGGTGGCTTAAAACTTGCTTTGATGGAAGTATTTATACCTTGAAAACCAGCAAACACTAAACATCGAGGCTTGATGTATGGCTTTGTTGATCGTCTAGGCTTAAGAAAATGATGGAGAACATGTTACTCATGCAGATTACATTTCAGTGTCATCCCTGTAGCCACAACATTGTGACTAACACTCCAGAATGAAGAAATATTCTTCCAGTATTTTAAAACTATTATCCATTCCAGTAAAGAAGTCACTTACATCACTGACAACCAAGTTAAGTTCCAACATACATCTTCTGCTTCACTTTCATCTCACTCCTTAACTTCATGATGGAACTATACTTGTTAATCAGTTGCAGCCAGGGGTTGGCTAAGCATTCAAGGGTCTCACAAAAATCAAGGAGAGTGTTTTGAGAGAATCGGTTTTCTATATGAAATTGACCCTAAGGAGTCTCGTGTATTTTATTATTTATAAATAGTGTAATATATATCTTTTATTTATATATTTAATTTTTTTAGTCAGGGACTCACTCTGTTGCCCAGGCTGGAGTGCAGTGGCACGACCGTGCTCACTGGCAGCCTCAAACTCCTAGGCTGAAGTGATTCTGTTGCCTCAGCCTCCTGAGTAGCTGAGACTGCAGGTGTGAACAACCATGCCAGCTAATTTTCTTTTTTCAAGAGATAGGGTTTTGCCATGTTCTCCAGGCTGTTCTTGAACTCCTGGCCTCAAGCAATTCTCCTGCTTCAGCCTCCAGAGGTACTGAGATGATATGCAACATTTCTATTAGTTAAAAAAAAATTTTTTTTAATATAGAGGCAGGGTTTCGCCATATTGGCCAGGCTGGTCTTGAACTCCTGACCTCGGGTGATCCACCTGCCTCGGCCTTCCAAAGTGCTGGGATTACAGGCATGAGCCACCACGCCAGGCCAGAATTTTTAATAAATATATGTACACACAGGCCAAAATTTTTAATAAACATATGTACACACACGAGTTTGGGACAGCCAGTTGTTAAACATTTACTGGCGCACAACAGCTTATAGATTGTTGAAAAGATGTCATAGACAGTTCATAATCCTGTAATAACACTAACAATGAGAGTGTGGGAAGGCGAGCAATGTGAAAGGAGAGTGCTAAGGAGTGAAAAGAGAACTTGAGCTCTTACCTCCCAGTAATTCATAGCTTCTAGCCAAGCAGCTAAGCTGTCCCTCCGCACTGCGGAGTCCAAAAGCAAGAACTCGCTTAATCCCAATGGGCCTTTAGTGTGCAGTCTTACTCTTGGCTCTTGGCTGTTCATCTCTGTTGTTTGCTTTTCACACTCAGCACAAATTTCTTTCTTTCTTTCTTTCTTTCTTTCTTTTTTAGATACTAGGTCTCACTATGTTGCTCAGGCTAGGGTCTTGAACTGCTTAGCTGAAGCAATCCTCCTGCCTCAGTCTCCTGAGTCGCTAGGGCCTACAGCTGTGCAACACCACACATATTTTCCCCCCACAGTCCAATACCAAATATGCACTGGTTCTCACCTTTCCTTACTGAAGCACTTGTCTCACTGTCCTCATCCTTTTTATCCTCAGACATCTGTTTCAGAAATATAGGTTAGTAAGAGTGATCGCAGTTGTTTTTCACTAATATTTGTTAAAAATACACTATTGCCAAGGCCCATTGACAATGACTAATTTCATTTTATTATTATTATCTTTTTTTAAAAGTCAACAGAGGTTGCCTAGGCTGGAGTGCAGTGGCACTATCTCAGCTCACTGCAACCTCCATCTCCCGGGTTCAAGCGATTCTCCTGCCTCAGCCTCCCAAGTAGTTGGGATTACAGGCATGCCACCACCATGCCCAGCTAATTTTTGTATTTTTAGTAGAGACGGGGTTTCACCATGTTGGCCAGGCTGATCTCAAACTCCTGACCTCAAGTGATCCACCCCCCTCAGCTTCCCAAAGTACTGGGATTATAGGCATGAGCCACCATACCTGTACTGACAATGTCTAATTTTAAACATTCAGTTTAAACAAGTACTTACTGAGTTAAATAATAAGCTAATGAAGTATGTATTGAGTTCTTGTTATAGTGATCTTACTTTCACTTCCCTTTAAGACTATGCTTTGATAGCAGAATCTACCAAAATGTTTTGAACCAAGCAAAATGGAACAGACTTGAGAGAGAATAAACTGATAAGGAGCTGTAGCTTATAAAGTTTTCATGTACCTATTTATATTACAGAGAAATACTGTTTAAAAAAATTTGATAGTACTCAGATTCGTTTTTAAAGGACATTTGATCAGGGTACATCATTGATAGTTATTTAAGATAGAAGACATCTACATACACTGAGATCTTTACCTGAATTCATGAACTTATCTTCTTTTTTTTTTTTGAGATGGAGTTTCGCTCTTGTTACCCAGGCTGGAGTGCAATGGCGCGATCTCGGCTCACCGCAACCTCCGCCTCCTGGGCTCAGGCAATTCTCCTGCCTCAGCCTCCTAAGTAGCTGGGATTACAGGCATGCACCACCACGCCCAGCTAGTTTTTTTTTTTTTTTTTTTGTACTTTTTTTTAGTAGAGACGGGGTTTCACCATGTTGACCAGGATGGTCTCGATCTTTCGACCTCGTGATCCACCCGCCTCGGCCTCCCAAAGTGCTGGGATTACAGGCTTGAGCCACCGCGCCCGGCCTTTTTTTTTTTTTTTTTTTTTTTTTTTTTGAGATGGAGTTTCGCTCTTGTTACCCAGGCTGGAGTGCAATGGCGTGATCTCGGCTCACCGCAACCTCCGCCTCCTGGGTTCAGGCAATTCTCCTTCCTCAGCCTCCTGAGTAGCTGGGATTACAGGCAGGCACCACCACGCCCAGCTAATTTTTTGTATTTTTAGTAGAGACGGGGTTTCACCATGTTGACCAGGATGGTCTCGATCCCTTGACCTCGTGATCCACCCGCCTCAGCCTCCCAAAGTGCTGGGATTACAGGCGCGAGCCACCGTGCCCAGCCGAACTTCCTATCTTCTTAATCCCCCTGAAAGTTTCCTCCAAAATGGAACCATAATATATTATTTGTGAATATGGCAACCAGAAGAAATGTATTTCTTCGAATAGTTCTAATTTCAAATGCTCTGCCTCAATACTCCATAAATATATTTGTCCCACTTTTCAGATTAGCGTCCCACTTTCTGATGCTGAAAGTACTTTTGCCAAAAGACAGAGATATAAACCAACTCTTTCAGAAAATAACAAAAACTAGCAATTTTCATTAACACCTTTGACATATAATTCTCTCTCCAGTAATCTATCAGCAAGAAATAACCCTCAAAAGAAAGAAAGCTTTGTGCACAGAAACAGTCATCACAGCATAATTAGGATAATATAACATTCAAAAGTAGACAATGGTTTAAGTAAATTATGGTCCAATTATATAATAAATAGTTATAAAATTATTATAATAAAACTATGTCATAACATGAGGAAATAAGTGTGCTACCATACTGGGTTAAATATCAAGATGCAAATTTGTAGATACAGTATGAGCACAAGTTAGCTAAAAATATGGGGAAAAAAAGATTTTAAGAAGCATATAAAAGTGATAGCAATGGTTGGCTTTAAGTGGTGAAATGGACTTTTTCTCTTCTAATTTTTTCGAACTGTCTATAATTAGGAACAAAATGAGGCCAGGCACCGTGGCTCACACCTGTAATCCCAGCACTCTGGGAGGCCGAGGCGGGTGGATCACCTGAGGTTGGGAGTTCGAGACCAACCTGACTAACATGGAGAAACCCCCGTCTCTATTTAAAAAAAAAAAAAGAAAGAAAGAAAGAAAAAGGAACAAAATGAATGTACATGGAAGTCAAATTTCTTTGGGTTGAAAAGTGCCGTACTTGGGTATTTGTAACTGCAATTTAAGAGCCTCAGCTTATTTGTTTCTTAGTATCTGATCTCTGCAATGGTAGGCAAGCATCTTTAATGAGGTACCTTTTTGCTTTCTGGGTTACAGCAATCATTCCAAAAATCTTGAAAGTGGAGTTTTCTTTTAAGATACCGCTTTCTAAAAAATACTTTTGGAAGGGGCTAAATATTTTTAATTTAATATGTATCATTTAGATTAGGTATACAAAAGAAAAAAATATAAATTTAACATGTGTAAAGGAAACCAAAAGATTGGAAGTTTATAAACCTAAAAGTTAACAGTAGTTGGTTATTTCTGCATAATCTAGAGTGATTTTTATTTTGTTTTGTCTCTGTCCTATAATTTCCACATTTTCTATATAATGTGTACTTTTGTAACAGATGAGAGAAGGTGCTTAAAAACACTTATTAGGCTTATGTCATTTCCACAGAAAGCTCTCACATTTGATGTCAAATCAAAAAATAACCACAAAATCAAAAGCAAGATTTTGCATTAAGCTAAGTGGAATCATATGAACTGTGGTTCCGAAAAGCATTTTATTAACTGTCTTTGTGTGTGACCCAGTGAGTGAAAACAGCAGAACTGCCTGCCCTGAGGGGCAGAGTAGAAAATGTGGGCCCTGGCTCTTTCTGCCACTAAGCGGCTCTGTGATTTTTCCAAGCCACTTAACACCTCTTAAGTTTGGTTTCCACATAAGCAAAATAAGGAGTTTGGACTACTGTTGTCCAGAAAATTACCTTCACTAGCAATCTGAATAAACACGAAAGAAACATATAAACTAAATATAGTATTTATAGTCTGAAAGCAAAAGGGTAAATGCTGCTTTAAAAAGTGGCTAATTCAGAGGAAATCGGCGTGCTGCATGTTGGAGGATAATTACCACCACATTTCCATCGCGCTTTTACCATTACTTCAAGGTTTGTAAATAAAGCCTCAGAGTTTAGCAGAGAAAATGAAGAAGTTCAAAGTGAAGGAAAAATTCCATCCTCCTTTACTAGCTCTCATATGGTTCTCAGATTTCAAATCTGGGACCCTTCAGATGAAGCAGTCCAGCCGATTGTAGCTGCCACAAGGGTATAACGTGAAAGACGAAACCTCTAAAATAATTAAGGTTTTTAATCAGGAGTAAGTAGATTTAACTGGACGTTTCAAACTATGCTTTGAAGCAAACAAATAATATGACAGGAAATCTGGGTCTATTCTCCTTCTGTTGCTAACCACTTTTGTGACATTGACAAGTCACTTAATTTCCTTGGGCCTTATCAGTAAAAAATGAGTGGGGAAGGATAATGATAACTCACTTGCGTACAAACAGGAGGCTGGACCACATGCTCTCTTGAGGTCCTGGAAGCTCAAGGCTCTATGACTCCAAAGAGCTGATGCAAGCAAGGGAGCAGAAAAATAGCTTAGGCCTCTTAATTCTTGATGAAATTGCCACTGATCAATTTCAATTTTTTTTGTTAATTTTTTAAAGTAGCTTTTCTTGCCAGGCCAGACAAATTCAATATACTTAGCTAGGGAGTCTAAGACACATACAAGCTATCACTATTCTAAATCTCCTTTTGGCAAAGTATTTACCTTAAGAAGCATTTAGACCAGGCGTCCCCAGACTTTTTACACAGGGGGCCAGTTCACTGTCCCTCAGACTGTTGGAGGGCCACCACATACTGTGCTCCTCTCACTGACCACCAGTGAAAGAGGTGCCCCTTCCTGAAGTGCAGCGGGGAGCCGGATAAATGGCCTCAGGGGGCCGCATGCGATGGGCGGGCCGTAGTTTGGGGATGCCTGGTTTAGACTTTAGATGAAACCTCTTCTGCATCAGGAGGTGGTGGTTACCAAAGAGACTTTGATTATTAGAATGGAATCCAGCTGGCATGGATGTAACAAACCTTCCCTTCCCCATCCAGAGCTCATAGAGCACTAAGCCTTACTGACCACTGCCAGTCCAGGGCTCTGGCTATAATGCTAAATGATGGTGGTTTTCTTAATCATCAGCCTGGTATTAAAAGCCAGCAAGGATATCATGTCAGCGAATTATAAGAGCTTGGTTACAGCTGGGTGTGTAACCCACCGTAATCCCAGCTCACGCCTATAATCCCAGCACTTTGGGAGACCAAGGTGGGTGGATTACTTGAGGTCAGGAGTTCCAGACCAGCCTGGCCAACATGGTGAGATCCCATCTGTACTAAAAATACAAAAATTAGCAGGGTATGATGACTTGTGCCTGTGGTCCCAGCTACTTGGGAGGCTCAGGCAGGAGAATCGCTTGAATCCGGGAGGTGGAGGTTGTAGTGAGCTAAGATTGCACCACTGCACTCCAGCCTGGGTGATACAGCAAGACTCCATCTCAAGAAAAAAAGAAAGAGCTTGGTTACTCATAATATGTTGGAGGCATCACAGTCCTGATGAAGTGGGATAGCTCATTCTTAAAACAATGGCATTTTAGTAGTGACTTTAGTTTTGTTTACTTCTGCATCTTATTCTATGCAGAAAGTGTATTGCCTCATTCTAAAAATCCCCAAATCCTACAGCATGTATCCTGTCAATATGACAACTTTTGTGTCTTTGATTAGAATCACATGGCTAGAAAAGGGATTTGGAAGTCATTAACCAACAGGGAGGTTTATGCCAGCATTACATAGCATATGGACAAACTGTAAACAATCTGAATGTTTCAACCTTGTAGAATTTTTTGGTACAATCAAAAGACAGAAAATTATGCAGTCATTAAAAGTGCTGCTGAGTGAATATAGAGAAGCATTTCCGCCATTTTATTAAGCTTAAAAAGCAGGATATGAAAATATATACAATCTAATGCCAAACATGTAAGATCAAAGAGAAATGGAGAGAGAGATGTTGGGATAGAGGGAGAGAGAGAAAAAAAAAACAAACTGGAAGAACATATTCCAAAATGTTAACAGTGGCTATCTCTGGGAAAGAAGATAACTGTAGTTTTATGTTTTCCTCTTCAATCTTTTCTATATTTCTGGATTCTCTAGAATAAGATTGTATTATTTTTTAAAACTAAACAACTCTTAAAAAGTAGTTTCATCGAAGTACAGTAAATGTATTTTATGGAACATTTCCTAGTGTACAGTAAACATATTATTTAAAATGAAAAAAAGATATCCTACCCAGACAGAAGCCCTAGAGAAGAACATCAGGACAAATATGATGACAAAATACCAGAGCAGGAAGCTCCCTATGGTCCCACAAGAGTCATCCTTCCGGCATTCATAATCCCGACTTGGAATGGCAAAACTTAAAGGTATGGGGGGAGGATCTACCTCCCAAAATAAGGAAAAAAGGTCTCCCATGGTGGCTTCTTGCTCAGAAAATAAACCATGTTCAAAGGGATAAAGATGACTGGGAACTACTTTACTCCCTCCATGATGTATGATAATTTCCTTGGCAACCTATTATGACATACTTCAGCAACTGTTCTAGGAACTGACAAATGCTTCTTGGATTTCTAAGTTTGTGGAAGGCTTATTTAAATTACTTCTGTGAATGTTTATGGTATTTTCCCCCATACCTCAACATGGTGCATTCTACCTTAAATTTTTTTCCCCTAAAACTTGTATATATTTTCCTATCTTTACATCTAAGTGTTTAAGGTATCCACTCTAATTCAGTCTCTTTTATATGTAGCATGCCATTGCAAATTATTATAGACAGTTCTAATGTATTAGTGATTGAACTGTGTTCCCTGAAATTCATATGTTGAAGCTCTAACCTCCAGGGTGACTGTATTTGGAGACAGGACTTCTAAGGAGGTAATTAAAGTTAAATGAGATCGTATGGATAGGGCCCTAATCCAATACAACAGTTATCCTTATAAGACAGCAAGGATTCATGAGCACAGAAATCAAGGCCACAATACAAGGTGGTCATTTGCAAGGAGATCGGCCTCAGGAGAAACCAAACATGCTGAAAATTTGTTATTAGACTTCCAGCCTCCAAAATTATGAAAAAATCAATTTCTGTTGTTTAAACCACTCTGTCTGTGATATTTCATTATGGCAGCCCTAATACATAACTCCCACTGTCAATTGGTCAGTAGTGTTCTTTTTTAAACCTTGAATAAATGTACAATAGCTTATGGATTACATTAAGAGGGAAAAACACAGATGTGCCTTATGAACTACATCAAATGCATACAATTTCTTCTTAGGAAAGAGTCAGCCGGGCGCGGTGGCTCAAGCCTGTAATCCCAGCACTTTGGGAGGCCGAGGCGGGTGGATCACGAGGTCAAGAGATTGAGACCATCCCGGTCAACATAGTGAAACCCTGTCTCAACTAAAAATACAAAAAATTAGCTGGGCATGGTGGCACGTGCCTGTAATCCCAGCTACTCAGGAGGCTGAGGCAGGAGAATTGCCTGAACCCAGGAGGCGGAGGTTGCGGTGAGCCAAGATCGAGCCATTGCACTCCAGCCTGGGTAACAAGAGCAAAACTCCGTCTCAAAAAAAAAAAAAAAAAAAAAAAAAAAAGGAAAGAGTCACATATAAAGTAGGTGGGAACCTAGTATTCTATTTTTTTTTTTTTTTTTTTTTTTTTGACAGGGTTTCACTCTGTCTCCCAGACCGGAATGCAGTGGCACCGTCTTGGCCCACCACAAGCCCCGCCTCCCAGGCTCAAGCAATTCTCCTGCCTCAGTCTCCCGAGTAGCTGGGATTACAGGCGCACACCACAACCGCGGGCTTTTTTATTTTTAGAAAAGAGACAGGGTTTCACCATATCGCCAGGCTGGTCTTGAACTCCTGACCTCAAATAATCTACCCGCCTCGGCCTCCCAACCGGTATTCTAATTTTGACTGCACCTTGAGCCCTTTCACTTTTAACAATTTTAAAGTTCGTTCTTCTCTAAATGTAAAACTAGAGCAAAACAACATTGCTGCTAACGCAATCCAAAAATGATAAAACTTACTTTTAAAAAGTTAGCTCTTTAAGAGCATAGCATTTTCATTACTATACAATACCACGTGGTATTAATCTTAGGATCATTTTAGGAAAAACTTCGGCCATTGGACATACATGATGTAATAATCCACTAGCTTATTGTGACATGGCTTAATGTTTTTATTAGGAGGCACACTTCCGAACAATCCTCAGGCTCTGGGCTTCTGGTTGTTGGCTCTCTAACGCGTCATGTCCCCCAGGAAGTTCGTGGGAGCTGGGGCTGGGCTGGACGTGCCTCCTTGGGGCGCACCGCACCCGCCTCACCTGCCTTCGAAGTGCACTCGTGGGTCTCCACCAGAGTTGAGCTCCTGTGGGCAGTAACCAGGGAGCTCTGATTTTCTACATCCCCGCGCCTGGCTCAGCGGCACATTTGTAGGTATTTGTGCTAAAGAAAACCAAGCTCAATCTTTTCCTCAGGATGAGAAGTTCTTAAAAAAAAAAAAGCAGTAAAGTGTGTTATTTTTTATAACCTCAAAACCACTAGCAACTTCAATAAAACAAATTTTGGGTGTGCTTGTTACTACTGCACCCTATTACACAGTTATTTATTTAGAATTTAGGCCAGGCGCAGTGGCTCAAGCTTGTAATCCCAGCACTTTGGGAGGCCGAGGCGGGCGGGTCCCCTGAGATCAGGCGAGACCAGCCTGGTCAACACGGCAAAACCCCGTCTCTACTGAAAAAAAAAAAAAAAAAAAAAAAAGAAAAGAAAAGAAAAGGATTTACATGGGGTCAGAAGTCTTGATACAGACATTTTAACACAGGGGAAAGAAATGCTTTGTCACCGCTTTGTCATTGATGGTGTCTGGCCACCCTATCACGCACTCTATCCTACGGTGAGCCACCCTGCCTAATCAATTTACACATGTCAGTCCATAAATGGCCTAGGGAAGCTAAACTTATATTAATAGATACAAAATTCAGCTTGTTATAATCATTACTTTTTACTGCAGGTTCAGAACCTGGTCTGAATTTTGCTGCTCAGTTTTCTCCCGCAGTTCAGTGGGAGCCACGAAACCCAGACCTGTTTCCCTGGTAACGTTCGAGCGACCCGGCCTGCGACGCCCTCCCTTTCTCGCGAGAAGAGACTGCCCAAGTTCTTCCGGTAACTTTAGAGCCGCCAGCCAGTCGCCTCCCTCTTGCGCTTGGCTTCGCGCATGCGCACTAGAGAGTGGCTCGAGCCCCCGTTTTCCGGCCGGAGGACACGGTGCGTTTTCGGGGTCATGTTTGTGCTTCCTGTCTTGGAGTCCATGCGGGGTGTGGGAGTTCCGCGCCTGCTGATCTGTCCGGGGTTCAGCCAAGGGAGGATGTGATTAGGCGTCCAGGGGAAGGGAAGAAAGAAGTAATAGGGTTGCTGAAGTTCGTGAGGAGGGAGCTGGGGAGGGAAGCTCTGGAATGGGCAGTTGGGACGCGGGGGCTGAGTGGCGCGAAGGCCATTGCTCTGTGCTCTGTGGGATACGACTCGTCGCTGGAACAAGTTTTGCACTGTCTGTAAGAGTTGAACCTAGCTGAACAAAGGAATTATAAATCCCAACGTGGACCAAAACGGAATGCACGTTTTTCCCTCTCCCTCCTATTCCCCTCACCACCGCATCACTAAAACTTAAATCCTTATCCTTTATCCACACACACAAGGGAGATCCCTGGAGTACAGCCGTCCACGTGCAAAGTTGTTTAGATAGTAATTGCATCTGTATGAGGATGTAGGAGAGTCTTTATGACTTAAAACAGATAGGGAATATATTCTCCCAAAACTTGATTTTGAGTTTCTGAAATTAGACTTCTCTACTCCTTGTAACATCCTCCAAAGACAAACTACAAAGTATATGCAGACATAATCACCAACCCTTAAATTACAAAATAAGACTTGTTTTACGTATTGGAAGTATTAATTTTTTTTTTTTTTTTTTTTTTTTGAGACGAGTCTCGCTCTGTCGCCCAGGCTGGAGTTCAGTGTCACTGCAACCTCCGCCTCCCGGGTTCAGGCGATTCTCTTGCCTCAGCCTCCCTTGTAGTTGGGTCTACAGGCAAGTGCCACTACGCCCAGCTAACTTTTTAAAAATATATTTTTAGTAGAGACAGGGTTTCACTGTGATAGCCAGGATGGTCTTGATCTGACCTCGTAATCCATCCTCCTCGGCCTCCCAAAGTGCTGGGATTACAGGCGTGAGCCACCCGTCCCGGCCTTAAATTGTTTTTAAATAACCAGCCGCTTCTCTGTTGATTACACTGTAATGCCAATGAAGGCATGATTTCTGGTTCCCTTTCCATATACTTATACTAAAATGGAAGAAGTTTTGGTAAGACATTTTAAAGATGAGAGAAAGTATATGCAATTTCATTTACCTTTATACGAGATGCAAAATTTGGTTTTAAATTTTGGTTAATTCCTGTGCTTTTTGTTTTTTCATAGATGCAGGGGGAGACACACCCTAGTGCTTCCCTTATTGACAGAACCATCAAGATGAGGAAAGAAACAGAGGCTAAGAAAGTGGTTTTGGCCTGGGGACTCCTAAATGTATCTATGGCTGGTATGATATATACTGAAATGTAAGTGAATGAGCCCAAATTGAAAATGTAAGAAACCAATGCTGGTTCCACAGGTTTCTGTGTTTGTTTCGATTTTTGGTGTCTATAAGTTCATTGGAAACCGTTTCTGATATTTTTTAGGACTGGAAAATTGATTAGTTCATATTACAATGTGACATACTGGCCCCTCTGGTATATTGGTAAGTAATTAATTTTCACTGTAACTTAAATTTACTACCAGTGAAAAACTGCCTTCAGGTTTAATTCAGCTTAGTATGCACTTCCTTATTCAACAATTATGTGACTGCCTGCTGGGTTGTAAAAACTGGGAATACAGCAGAAAGGGAGCAAGGTAAAACCCTGTTACTATGAAAGGAACATTTTATTAGAGAGACAATCAGTAAACATGTTATCAGGTAATTATGAGTTACGTGAGGAAAAATAACTTTAGAGGTCAGTGAGATTTGGTTTTGTTACTCTCCTGAAATGCCTTCTCTACATCTGTACCTTTTCTTTTTTTTTTTTTTTTTTTTTTTTTTTAGACAGAATCTTGCTCTGTCACCCAGGCTAGAGTGTAGTGGCACCATCTCTCTGCCTCCCGGGTTCAATCATTCTCCTGCCTCAGCCTCCCAAGTAGTTGGGACTATGGGTGCAAGACACCATGCCCGGCTAATTTTTGTGTTCTTAGTAGAAATAGGATTTCACTATGTTGGCCAGGCTGGTCTCGAACTCCTGACCACAGGTGATCCGCCTCCTTGGCCTCCCAAAGTGCTGGGATTACAGGCGTGAGCCACTGGGTCCAACCACCCCACACATAGTAGACATTGATTAAATTACAGCTTTTATGAGCATAAGGTAAGAATAAGAACGTAAT